TTTTGAAGATATGAGCAAACAGTTTTGTCATCATTTCTACTGAGACTGCCAACACAGTGCTCTTTTTTTTCTGGTAAAGCTTATAACAATTACTTATTCTGATTCTCCCTGAGGGCTGATGACTGCTTATTTGTTGTTCATGAAGAACAGAGGAACGATTTCCAGCTACTCACTGAGGATGTCAAAAATGGCACAGGCTGTCCGCATTGGGCATTGGAGCTGTCAGAGACTGTCCTGAGTCTCCGTGAAGTACAGCTCTGTGTGATGGCCCCTCCCGGGAAGGGGGTAAATGTGGCATGTTCAGAGGCTACGGCAGCACCACCTACTCACCTGGGGAATCAGGCAACGTCACCTGCCTCTCCCTGAACTCTAAACACCTATTTATTAATAAGTAGGTTTATGAGAGTCCATCCCTACCGGTTCAAGAATCGGGCTCCTACAATCAGGCTTATCCATTTAGGATTATGAGCTACAAATTGTGTCTGCATTTTATTTATTTTCTTTCCCACCCTGGAAAATTGAGGATGCCAAAAACACCGATGGTTAGGAAAGATTCTATTTGTTTTTTTTAACAGGTTGGTCAGGCAGAGAGGTGTTTAGTACGCATTTAACAAGCATTTGCTGAATTAAATAATCGAATCTAGTTTAAAACAAAATACATAGACAGAGGTGAATCATCCAGAGATGATTATATGCCAAGTGTATACTTTTTGACAGTTTGTTTCAGGGGTTAGACTGCTTCATAGACAATCTGGACGATGAGGTGTATGGCCACAGAGACTCAGATGAGTTGCTTCCCCTTTGGTAGCGTACTTAAGGGCCTTTCAAGCTCTACTGGAATAGGGTTAGATAATCTGAGGTTAAAAATAATAAGATCTTCCTTTCCTGATCTTAAAGAAGACATGAAGTCTCTTGATCTTAGCATCCTGTTTGCCTACATTAAATAACTGGGGGATAAACTCTTCATATTCCTGAGATTTGAGTTTGTGCTACAAGGGAAGTCTGTTTGACAACCATTCGTGAACTCTACCCTTATATTCTTGTCCGTTTGGTCCTTGGTTAGAGACGTGGGACTTCTTAGGTGCTTCAGCTGACAAGACTGCAGTATGGAGTGGACCTGTTCAAGACCTAAGGAGAGTGAGAAGTGTTTGGTTCAATGCTATCTCCCAATGCTTTGCACAGTGAAAACTAGTGGACGCTCAAAATATATTAATATCTTGTGGAATGA